TGGCTATACAGCACTGCTTGAGTTTTCGAAGATTTTGGATAGTAACGGTAAGTCTGATATTGGCCTGTAGTTATTTACATTTGTGGGGTCACCACTTTTGTGCACTGAATTTTTGTATAGATTTAGCCGGACACGGGGAATGTCATATTATTATAATCAAGGGGGAAGCGCAAAACCCGTAGGATTATACAGCGCCTGTGGGGGGATGTGGCAGGCTTTCAGGTTTAATTCAGGGAACTGGAGCACAGATCCAATTCCTTAGATCAAGAGCCCTTCACCAGCATCAAGGGGGGAATGTCATAAAGATTTTTGTCTGGTATTGCGCATATGGGTCCTGTCACAACTATCAAGAAAGCGTTTTAGTTCAGGGTTAATATTTTAATTTATGGTTCTGTAAATGTAGGTTGCACAGTAGTAAGTGTGGATGTTCTGTTACAGTAAGTTTAGGTCTATGAAGGGTGGAGGGGGGGTGTTGCCTAGGATCGGATTCCGTGATAATTCCAACTGTGGCTTTTTGTTGGATTATTGGCTTTAGGTGGGTTGTTACTGTTGATCCTCAGGCACAAATGGCATATGTGAGGTAGGGATAGATGAGTGAATAGTATAGTGTGAGTAGGGCTGATTGTGGTACGTAGTAATGTATCTTAAGAGAGGATCCTGGAGTTTACCTGGAGAGAGTTCCGGGGGTCAACGCCCCCGCGGCCCGGTCTGTGACCAGGCCTCCTGGTGGATCAGAACCTGATCAACCAGGCTGTTACTGCTGGCTGCACGCAAACCAACGTACGAGCCACAGCCCGGCTGATCAGGAACCGACTTTAGGTGCTTGTCCAGTGCCAGCTTGAAGACTGCCAGGGGTCTGTTGGTAATCCCCCTTATGTATGCTGGGAGGCAGTTGAACAGTCTCGGGCCCCTGACACTTATTGTATGGTCTCTTAACGTGCTAGTGACACCCCTGCTTTTCATTGGGGGGATGTTGCATCGTCTGCCAAGTCTTTTGCTTTCGTAGTGAGTGATTTTCGTGTGCAAGTTCGATACTAGTCCCTCTAGGATTTTCCAGGTGTATATGATCATGTATCTCTCCCGCCTGCATTCCAGGGAATACAGGTTCAGGAACCTCAAGCGCTCCCAGTAATTGAGGTGTTTTATCTCCGTTATGCGCGCCGTGAAGGTTCTCTGTACATTTTCTATGGCAGCAATTTCACCTGCCTTGAAAGGTGCTGTTAGTGTGCAGCAATATTCCAGCCTAGATAGAACAAGTGACCTGAAGAGTGTCATCATGGGCTTGGCATCCCTAGTTTTGAAGGTTCTCATTATCCATCCTGTCATTTTTCTCGCAGATGCGATTGATACAGTGTTATGGTCCTTGAAGGTGAGATCCTCCGACATGATCACTCCCAGGTCTTTGACATTGGTGTTTCGCTCTATTTTGTGGCCAGAATTTGTTTTGTACTCTGATGAAGATTTAATTTCCTCGTGTTTACCATATCTGAGTAATTGAAACTTCTCATCGTCGAACTTCATATTGTTTTCTGCAGCCCACTGAAAGATTTGGTTGATGTCCGCCTGGAGCCTTGCAGTGTCTGCAATGGAAGACACTGTCATGCAGATTCGGGTGTCATATGCAAAGGAAGACACGGTGCTGTGGATGACATCCTTGTCTATGTCAGATATGAGGATGAGGAACAAGATGGGAGCGAGCACTGTGCCTTGTGGAACAGAGCTTTTTACCGTAGCTGCCTCGGACTTTACTCTGTTGACGACTACTCTTTGTGTTCTGTTTGTGAGGAAATTATAGATCCATCGACCAACTTTTCCTGTTATTCCTTTAGCACGCATTTTGTGCGCTATTACACCATGGTCACACTTGTCGAAGGCTTTTGGAAAGTCTGTATATATTACATCTGCATTCTTTTTGTCTTCTAGTGCATCTAGGACCTTGTCGTAGTGATCCAATAGATGAGACAGACAGGAGCGACCTGTTCGAAACCCGTGTTGCCCTGGGTTGTGTAATTGATGAGTTTCTAGATGGGTGGTGATCTTGCTTCTTAGGACCCTTTCAAAGATTTTTATGATATGGGATGTTAGTGCTATCGGTGTGGAAAATTGCATTTATCTGAATGTATTATTATGTACATAACAGTAAATGAACAGATAATTATTATTTAGCAGTGAGACAAGTAGGAATTTGGGACACCTAGATCGCAAAAAATGTCCCCCTTTGATACCTACCACTGTCATATCCACAAGTTGTTCTGGACCTATTAATTATAAATGAAATATGTATCACCAGGAATACTGGTAAATATATAAATTTGTGGACTGTATATTAAAAATAATAAATGGTTATATATATACACAATTACATAACAGAAGGAGAATATCTTAATCATAACACTTACCAATTTGACTGGAGATGAATGTGTCATGTACATTATTATTATTATTATAATCAAGGGGGAAGCGCTAAACCCGGAGGATTATACAGCGCCTGGGGGAGGGGGATGTGGAAGGCATTCAGGCTTAATTCGGGGAACTGGAGCACAGATCCAATTCCCTAAATCAAGAGCCCCTCACCAACATCAAGGAACTGTGTCATGTACAGGACCCCCCCCTTTTGCCTACATTTATGAAAATTTTACTGGCCAGAAATTAAATATAAATTAGACAGCTTATCTGAGGTTCCTGGAGTTGTCCTGTCCTGTCGCCTGATATCTCAAGTTATGCAGGAATGCACATCCAACAATTTCGTCTCCTATTTGAGAGGTGTCAGTCCAATTTTAACCTCTAGAGCACGAAAAATTCTTCCCATTACACTAACGTATCCAATTCAAAAACCAAAATGGCGACTCTCCTCCCCAGCCGCAGGTTTCCCATTTTCGATAACATACTTCTTTTAAAAATACAATATAGGGCATCTACTTACCTATAAATTACCGTACTTCCGGAAAATATATACAGTATTTTCCACAATCGGTCTATAGCTCTTTGCTATTGCTTTACTGCCCCCTTTGTGGAGTGGGGCTATGTCTGTTGTTTTTAGTGAGTGTGGGATGACCCCTGTGTCCATGCTCCCTCTCCATAGGATGGTAAAAGCTCGTGACAGGGGCTTCTTGCAGTTCTTGATGAACACAGAGTTCCATGAGTCTGGCCCTGGGGCAGAGTGCATGGACATGTCATTTATCGCCTGTTCGAAGTCATTTGGCGTCAGGATAACATCAGATAGGCTTGTGTTAACCAAATTCTGTGGCTCTCTCATAAAAAATTCATTTTGATCCTCGACTCTCAGTCTGGTTAGCGGCTTGTTAAAAGCCGAGTCATATTGGGACTTGAGTAGCTCACTCATTTCCTTGCTGTCATCTGTGTAGGACCCATCTTGTTTAAGTAGGGGCCCAATACTGGACGTTGTTCTCGACTTTGATTTGGCATAGGAGAAGAAATACTTTGGGTTTCTTTCGATTTCATTTATGGCTTTTAGTTCTTCCCGCGATTCCTGACTCCTATAAGATTCCTTTAGCTTAATTCAATGCTTGCTATTTCTCTGACCAGTGACTCCCTACGCATTTCAGATATATTGACCTCTTTTAGCCGCTCTGTTATTCTTTTCCGTCGCCTGTAAAGGGAGCGCCTGTCTCTTTCTATTTGATGGTGATTCCTTCCTATTCCATTTAAGAGCTAAATTTTTTTTTTTTAACATACTGGCTCTCTCCTACTGAGGCAAGGTGATTCCCCCCCCCCCCCAAAAAAAAAAGAAAAGCATAAAGCTTATATTCTTTAAACCTTTAATAATTTATACAGGAGAAGGGGTTACTAGCCCCTTGCTACCAGCATTTTAGTCGCCTCTTACAACACACATGGTTTATAGAGTAAAGACTCTTTTAAAAGGGGAAACAACACTTGTGCAACATTTTGGACATCTTTATTCTGGAAGCGTTTTTGCCATGCAGTGGCTTCTTCAGTTCGATGCAGAAAAGGTGGAAGATGAGGAGGAATTTGAGGTAATCAGTCCCTCAGCCTGGACTGAACATATTGACTCCAGGCTGAGGGACTGATTACCTTAAACTCCTCCTCATCTTCCACCTTTCTTTGCATTGAACTGAAGAAGCAACTGTGTGGCAAAATGTTTCCAGAATAAAGATACCCAAATGTTGCACAAGTATCTATTTATCAACATGTTGGTCTTATAAACCATTTGTTCACAAAAGGGGAAATCTTTCTTTCTTTCAACACACTGGCCACATCCCACTGAGGCAGGGTGACCCAAAAAGAAAAACAAAAGTTTCTCCTTTTAAATTTAGTAACATACACAGGAGAAGAGGTTAGTGGCCCCTTGCTCCTGGCATTTTAGTCGTCTCTTACGACATGCATGGCTTACGGAGGAAGAATTCTGCTCCACTTCCAAAGGGGTAAATATCCTTTCTAATAACGCCAAGAGGAGAGGGATTGTTGGAGTTTATTTAGATTCGACCTAAGGAAGTTTCAATCCCTTAGATCAAAAGCCCTTCATTACAGGTGGGGCCTTTCCTTAAAGGGGGGTTGTCTGTAGTAGTAGTAATATTAGTTATGCTTTGTGATGTCCTGTGCATCTGTTCCATCAGTCTCCTCAAAAAAAAAAAAAAAAAAAAAAAAAAAAAAAAAAAAAAAAAAAAAAAAAAAAAAAAAACTCATTTTGTTTGAAATTTCCTTAGCTTGCATGTTATTCAGAATTTTTACACAATTAAAATATCTGAATGGAATAAACTCATTATACTTTAATTATATGTAGAGAGTTTTTGTTGCTTCTGTGCCAAAATACATTTCAGGGGTCTTGAATATATTCACAAGAATAAACTTTTGTGGGTCATTCATTGCTGCTCCATGGGGCCTGAACTTCATGTTAAACAAGTTTTCCTCAGAAATTATACTACCCTACATTATCCGTACCACAGTTCTCTGTGAAAGTAATCCACAGTACCTAAATATTTTTTCATGCTCAAATACATAACTTCTCCCTCTATTTGCAGTTAAGATACAACATGGAGGTGAGAGCGCCAAAGGATGATGATCTGAACCAAGAAAATCCTTCTGAGGGAGGTGATGACAAAGCATGGATGAAAGTCAGTGACATACCTCGGAGGTTTGATGAAATGCCCCAAGAAGAAGAAGAGTGGATCCCTGTTGCAAGCATTATTCGTGCCCAGAGGGAAGAGACTGCAAGAAAGGAGGCAGAGCAAAACAAAATTAGGCCACCATTAGGGCTTCATTTAAATTCAGTGCCTGTACATCAGCAAAAGCCTGTAAAAAAGAATCCAGAACCCAAGAAAGAGGTTACAAAAGAAATGAGCAAGAACAAACCACCAGAAAAAAATACTAATTTAAACACTGAATTATTAGTTGAAGACAGGAAGGAATCTGATGAAGAGATTGATAATGTAACTAAGGCCATGATTGACTGGGGTCTTAAGGCCTCAATCCTGTATGATCCAGGGAAGAGAAGAAGTAGTACTGGCCAGCTTGGTTTGAAAAGCTCTCCTGTTAGTCCAGTCAGTAATGTGGAGAGATTTTCAAAAATATCAGCAGAGAGTTATAATAAAAATTATGAGGCTAAATACAGCTCCTCACATTCACGAGACAAACCCGAATACGGACATGACCGCGAAGGCCTCCCCAGTGATTCTTACCAATATCACAGGAGACGGGAAACACTCCCTGAATTGTATGGTAGGTCTCATAGTCATGAAAATACTGAAAGGCGGCAAGCATTCCATAAAGATCCTCATTATGAACAACGATACCGAGAGAATTACGCTCACAAACAATGGCGGGATATTCATCATGATACTGAACCAGATAAGGACTATGATTATCGTGAGCCTAAGCAAGATTATGATCAGGATCTAAGCAGAGACAAGGATTATGAGTACTATCAGGAACATGATGGTCAAAGACAAGAATACAGGCAAGATTACTACAGGTACCACGACTCAGATCCATACTATGAAGAAGATCATGATCTTGATCACAGACAAGAATATGAGCATAAAGAACATGAGTACAACAAAGATGACAAATATGGATATAACAATTACCAAGGTCACAAAAACTACGATCAACATTATCATCGTGGTCATGACTTGGGTTACTAGGACTGTAAACCTGCTAATGTGTACAAATTCCTCTCTTTAATACAACTACAAACAGCAGCTCCATGTGGTTGAATTAAACTTACAAAATAATTAAACTGCAGCACTTGGGTATACTGTATACAAATATCTTTTGCTAAGCTGAAATGAGTTGAGCCACCAGGAGCATAAGAGAGGTTTTTCCAAAAAGGTGACTCCTAGTGATAATGGAAGATTTTACATGAGTGAGATCGTTAATAGAGCTTCAGTCTTTATGATGATGAATAGGTACACTTATCACCAGGTCCACATTAAAACTGGAGCTCTAAATATCAACTTAGGTGCCATGGTAAACCACAAAACTTTGCAATATTAGAAATAATAATCACTTTCTTGCACTTATGTTATTTCCTTGTTGGAATCTTCAAACCAGTTATCTAATAATCCACAAGGGATTCCTTTGAAAAACTTAAGGAATAACATATATGAATCCATTCTTACACTGTAAGTGTTACAAGTGCAGTTTTGAACATTGCTTAGTTTTGCCCACTCACTGCGCTGCCAAATGTGTTATAACAGTCTTTTTAAATTTGCTTATTTGTTAAATACATGTTTTACAGGTTTATGTAACCCTACCATAACCTAAAGTACAATTAAAAAAAATTCAGTTGTGAATATTTAGTAACTGAGGCTGGAAATCATATATAAAAAAAATGAAGAACGGCTGCATATCTTTAATGGGTGTCCTAGGCAATAAGAGATGTTTCAGCAGTCACTTGAAATAATCAAAGCTCTTAAAGTACAGCATGTATATTAAAACTAGCTACAAAATTTCTCATATCAGTAAAATTATTTAGACTGCATTATTATTACATTTATGGGGAAAGTGCTAAACCCATAGAGGTCATAGAGAGCCAGGAGAATGGCAGGTATTTAGACTCACCAGCATCAAGGAATCTTCATTATGGAATATTTAGCTTAAAAAAGATAACTGTATATTCATAGCATGAATATTTGGTTGATAAAAATAATTCTTTTCCATGGGGAAGTGGAACAGAATTCTTCCTCTGTAAGCTATGCGTGTCATAAGAGGTGACTAAAATGCCAGGAGCAAGGGGATAGTAACCCCTTCTATTGTATATATGACTAAATGTAAAAGGAGAAACTTTGGTTTTTCCTCTTGGGCCGCCCTGCCTCATTGGGATACAGCCAGTGTGTTGAAAGAAAGAAAAATAATTCTTTTGCTACTGCATTAAGAATGACTCTTAACCCAACTAATAAATAAAATTTCAGTGCTGTATTTAATTTTTTTTATATGTTGTAGTTATCAACAAATATATGGGTATTTTTTATTTCAACACCAGCCGTCTCCCACTGAGGCAGGGTGATCCGAAAAAGTAGAGGGGAAAGATTTTTTTACATTTAGTAATTTATACAGAAGGGGTTAAAAACAGTATTATATGTGATTTTAATTAAATGAGAAAAATGTGAAAAAGACATATTTTATTAGATAGTAAGTCTTAGAAAGTCAATACAATAGTATATTGTGTGGGGTTAGTAGTTTTCTTGTATTTCTTGTGGTAATACTGTATAAAAGCATTTATGTACTTTGGATAAACAGTACAATATTATATCTTGAGAAGGTTTGAATACCTATTAATGCTAATGATTTTTCTCTCATATTTATTTCCTATAACATATACTTATAGTAGTTGGGAATTAGTGGTGATATAGAATTAACATGAATTTCTCTTATATATCAATAATAAAGATCACATATTTATGTCTAATAAATCCTTTATCACTAGCTTAATAAACTATAAGCATAACTACTGAACTTAACTACAATAATGAAATTGTATGCTGAATTTCCTTTTAAAATTATTATTCCATATATTAGTTCCTATCTCCATATTTGTGATTGTATTTAGTAGTAAATATTAATTTTAGTCTGCCTGAAATGCTTCACATACCAATGTGATTGTATTTAGTAGTAAATATTAATTTTAGTCTGCCTGAAATGCTTCACATACCAAGAGGATTTTAAAAAACTAATCATACTATATAGAGATATAATTCCCAAAAATTCTAACTGTATTCTTAGAAATAAAATTTGTATTAGTAACAGGATAAATTAACACTTGTGCTTTTGACCATTGGTAGTTGAAGTGTTATATATTTTATAGTTTAAAATAAGGGAGCAAGAGACTAGTAACCCCTTCTCCTGTATTCATTACTAAATTTAAAAGGAGAATCTTTTGTTTTTTCTTTTGGGCCACCCCTCCTCGGTGGGATACGGCCGGTGCGTTGAAAGAAAGAAAGTTTAAAATAAAATATAAATCCCTGTTTGCTCTTTTTTAGCACAACATAGATCTCTCACCAATGTAGGGTAGCTCAAATTATTATTCGTATATCATCAGGAAATACCACAACAAGCACTGTGAGGGACACAGTGCATAAGAGGAATGGGAGGTAATCAGGTTTAAACTCAGGAAGAGAGGGTAGCTCAAATTCACTGGATCAAGTACCCTTCACCAGAGTCATGGCATTTTCCCTTGAAGGGAGGGTGATCCAAAGAAGGAAACACATTTACCATCACTGTTCAGCAGTGCATAGATGTTACAATACAAATAATCCGCTGAACCACATCATCTTAACTCATGATCTTCACTTCTTATTCTTTGCATATTTCCACCACACCCTGACCCCATATATGACACTTCCATAGACCCCAGCCAACTCCTAACTGCAACATTCAAAAACCAGGATTCACAACCATAAAAAAAGTGGTAGTACATATTCTTGTATATAGTAGGGCACCACTTACATGGCAGGTTAGGTTCTAGGCTACTGTCGGAAAGCAGACATCGCCGGAAAGCAGAATGCCTTTTTTTTCCCACTTATAAATGCATATAAATGCCAGATAACAAGTTTACACTAACATATACAGTGGACCCCCGGTTTACGATCAGCTCCCAATGCGACCACGTATGTAATTGTATTTATGTAAGTGCATTTGTATATGTATGTTTGGGGGTCTGAAATGGACTAATCTAATTCACAATATTCCTTATGGGAACAAATTCGGTCAGTACTGGCACCTGAACATACTTCTGGAATGAAATAATATCGTAAACCGGGGCTCTACTGTATTAAGTTAGCAATAGAACTAGGCTTAATTAAAAACAATAAAAAGTAAAATACACATACAGTACATTCATTAATCACCTTAATATATTTGTAGTCTTAATGTAGGGCAAGAGGTGAGTTTTATTTGTAAGAAGTCAGGTTTGGGAAGTTTGGTAGCCAGCCAGGTCAGCCCACCCCACCCAAAGGTAATACGTATACTTTGACATTTAATTTAAGCATCCCAGAGTGATAAAATACATATACAGTACATTCATTAATTACCTTACAATATTTGCAGTCCTAACATAGGGTGAGAGGGAGTTTTATTTGTAGGAAGTCAGGTGGTAGCCAGCCAAGGCAGCGCCCCCCGCTCCACTCCACTCACACGTAATGTAAACAAACCAGGCGAACACATCTGGTTTTTGTCACTTTACACTGTGTACAAGTTGTCTCCACGTTGATACAGTAGAATAAATAGAGAGAAACACTCCCATTCTCCTGTAACACCGTTTTTAGAAGAAATGACGCCCTGAGTGAAGGCATACTAAAGGAATAATTTTCTAGTTACCCTCAGTAATGTTGTAGTGACACATTTTCTCTAATGTTGGACTACAAGTCGCCTGGCTAACCCATCTCATATTTATGTTTATTTATTCTACTGTGTGGTGTATTTATCATGTTTATATGTTACAAACGAGTGTTTATATAATTTTGAAAAAATATCACAAATGGATTAATGGAAATGTCTATATTAATGTAATATACAACATTTAATGCGCCCAAGAGATTACGTATTACATGAAGAGTAGAGAGACTCTTATTGATTTTAATGTGTACCTGCATACCAGCACAGTGTGTAAGTATATTTAGGTATAGGTACACACATGTATAATTATTGGAGTACATATAAATATGCAATAACTTTAAAACACTTGAAATTTTGGAAAAAATTCAGACATAATAGAGAGATGTGCACTGTATTTGAAAGACCACTCGCTGTATAGCAAGTTTTGGTCATAATTTGAAATCGCCATATTAGCAGAATGCCACAAGGCAAAATGCCATAAAGCGGGGCCCTACTGCATATAATTTTTGAATCACTGATAATTTCCTTTATCTTTCTAAAGACTTCTCTTTACTGCAATTGTCCTCTTTCTTTTATCCCTTCTATCATTCAATTTGTCTTACATGAACAAATCTGCCAACACATCCACTCCCCAATGTTTTTTTTTCAACAAGTCGGCCATCTCCCACTGAGGTAGGGTAACCCAAAAAGAAAGAAAATCCCCAAAACAAAAATACTTTCATCATCATTCAACACTTTCACCTCACTCATACATAATCACTTGTCTTTGCAGAGGTGCCCAGAACACAACAGTTTAGAAGTCCCTCCAAACTGTCAATATCCCAAACCCTTCCTTTAAAGTGTAGGCATTGTACTTCCCATTTCCAGGATTCAAGTTTGGCTAACTAGAAAGGAAGGGACCTGGGAGTAGTAATGTCTGAAGATCTCACTTTCAAGGATCACAACAGTGCCACGATCGCACGTGCAAAGAAAATGATAGGATGGATAATGAGAACTTTCAAAACGAGAGATGCCAAGCCAATGATGATCCTTTTCAAATCACTTGTTCTCTCTAGGCTGGAATACTGCTGTACATTAACATCTCCATTCAAAGCAGGTGAAATCGCAGATCTAGAGAGTGTACAGAGATCCTTTACTGCACGTATAAGTTCTGTCAAGCACCTTAACTACTGGGAATGCTTGGAAGCACTTTGCTTTCTCCATATTCATAATTAAACACTTAATTAAGATTGTTTTGCAACATATTTAAAATTGATTTGAAACATAATTCCTGTATGTGGAGCACAGATACAGTAAACTAAAAGTACACTTAGTTCTTGTGTAAAAATAAAATATAAATTTAAGATTCCAAAAGAGGCTTCTAAAAACATTAAAAACACAAATTGTAGGTCTCAAACAACACTGAAGTGTTCATATAACTCAGTTTCTAATTAGAAAAAACAGGTGGGGTGTATTTTCATTCTTCATAGTTTTATCATGGCATGAGACATCAAAATAAAAACTTCATCTGCATCTGCCTTCTCTTCAGTACCGTCAACGGTATACCTTTGTATCCACCATCACGTCTAATTGAGCACATCTCCATTCTTTGTAGAGCTGACATGAAGTTCATCAAGGGTCTGCTGTCTACCCATTGCACCCTGTGGAAAACACAGAAACAAAAATATACAGTACACAAAAAACAAATCTTAAATTACCTTTGATGAGTTTTGAGTTTTTCTACTCCCAGACCCCAGCCTTAGGCCAGGCTCATCTTACTCACATACAGAAAAGCATAATAAAAATTTTTTAACCCTTTCACTGTCCATCACGTAGGACTATGTTATTGATGCCAGGGGTCAGTCACATAGATCTGTGTCATGAGCTCAGATCACCCAGATAAACTGTTAGCAGTAAATTTTGACCTAGATATGAGAGTGGGTCTATGTAGTGAGTATGTACAGTGTAATAAAAAATCCTGCCTCATGTGGCAAATGATACGAAAAGCAAACCTCTGACCCTGTGTTTGGTTTAAAATACAGTCGAACCTTGGTTGTCAATTGCATTACTTGTCAAATAAATCAGTTTTTGAATGAAGTGTTTGAGAAAAAAATGTCCTGGTTTTTGCACATTCTCTTGGTTGTCGACGGACAAGTTTTTGCGTGTACAGAATAGGACAAAGCAGCTCAGGTCACATGCTCAGGGAATGCATGCTGGGCACTGGGTTGAGAGCATGGGTATGAGTCAGTATAGCCACTAACTTGCATGCTGTAAAGATCTCTTGAGCTTTTTTGTGCATCTTGTGATTTTTTTTTATTATTTTGCAGTTTTGGTGCAATTTTATTTTATTGTGAGATAAGCCATCACAGGTCCAAAGAAGGATATCCTATAATATGTAAACCCCACATTGTAATCTTTATAGAGAATAAAGTTGATTTGATTTGATTTGATAAAAGTGAAAAGTTGTAAAGAGCACTGTTGAGTATAAAAAAGAAGTTATTAGAAAGTATGAAGATTGACTCTGCGTGGTTGATAGAGCACCTGTCAAGGAAATGTGCGTTAAATGGCCTGAAGTGCAGGAGTTTGCTGAAAAATACCATCCAGACAAAGCAGTGCCCATTAGTCTCTCTAACATGTACAATGACAGCGTAATGTCTCAATTGAGGCGAGTGTTAAAATGGGGCCTGAAACAAACCTCACTGGACAGGTTTTTAGAGACAAAGAACCAGTGAGCCAAAACAAGGTGTTAGTGGTGAAAAGAGACAAGAAAGAAACAATACCAGAAGGACAGTTGCCTGACATATTAATAGCTGACTCTCCTTCTAGGAAGTAACATCCCCCATCCTCTCCTCCACCTCCTGCTTCCAGTATGCCATTAGCTCTCTGACAGGTAAGGGGCAGTTAAATTTTCATTTACTGTACAGTATTTCAGTTAAAATTTTCATTCAGTATTCATTTTTACAGTTTTCCTGTGCTGTATAATTTTATACATTTTTTACGTATTAGTACATTTTTAATATACCCCATGGGGAAGTGGAACAGAATTCTTCCTCCGTAAGCCATGCGTGTTGTAAGAGGCGACTAAACTGCCGGGAGCAAGGGGCTAGTAACCCCTTCTCCCATATAAATTACTAAATTTAAAAGAGAAACTTTAGTTTTTCTTTTTGGGCCACCCTGCCTTGGTGGGATATGGCCAGTGTGTTGAAAGAAAGAATTATTAATATACAGTGGAACCTCTACTTACGAGTGCACCCACGTGTGAGTTTTTCCAGACATGAGCAGTCGCTCAGTCGATTTTTTGCTTCCAGACACGAGCGAAATTTCCAGATATGAGTGGGCCTCAAGGGAGGTTCCTTGAGGCTGGTGAGGAGTTCTTGCTCTTGATCTAGGGAACTGGATCTCATTTGTTTGTTGGACTATCTTTGAAACTTGGGCAATGTATGATGGAAAGATGCTTCATAACGTACACCAAAATTGAAAGAAATTGGATCATAAAAAACAGAGTTCACTTCTCAGCCATTAGCCACGCCTTAGCGGTATACGTGTATTTTCGTGTGGTTTTTACATTTGTATTCTCATTTTTTTGGTCTCATTTGATAGAATGGAAGATATACTGTACTACAGAATTAGATACAATTTTGATTGATTTCATGATGAAAAGTACCTTGAAATTGAGCTCAATGTAGCAGAAATGTTTGATTTTTGCCGATGTTCAAGAGTAAACAATACCTGTCCGAGTGGCCATTCCAAATACGCAGTCAAAAATAGATTGACATTATTTATACAATTATTACAACAATGCAGTAGTTTGCATAACAGTAAATCTTCTATTTTTTTGTGTGTGAATAAAAATTCCAAATGGTAAGCAAGAGTATTATAATAATTATTATAATAATAATACAGTGGACCCCCAACATTCGATAAATCCGACATTCGATGCATTTTAACGCAAAAATTTGGCCTCGACATTCGATGAAAAACCCGACATTCAATACGATTCGTACAAGACGTGTCCATGTGTGGCCTGAACTGCACCGTGTGTGCCAGTGTTTACAAGCCAGCCAGTGTGCGCGCATCTAAGGATACATTCGGTACATTCTATATTATCCATATTATCACTGTTTTTGGTGCTTGTTTCTACAAAATAAGTAAGGATGGGCCCCAAGAAAGCTTCTAGTGCCAACCCTTCAAGAAAAAAGGTGCTAATGACTATTGAAATGAAGAAAGAGATAATTGCAAAGTACGAAAATGGAGTGCGTGTGTCGGAGTGCATGATGATTTGGTAAAGAAATTGCCTGCAACTAGTGGTGATGTGAGTGAATTTAAGGCCAACAAAGGTTGGTTTGAAAGATTTAAGAATCGTAGTGGGATACACAGTGTGGTAAGGCATGGTGAGGCTGCCAGTTCAAGTCCTAATGGAAGGGGATTCCCCTTCTAAACACTAACACCATCCACACTCTCCCCTCCTCCCATCCCATCAATCATCACCATATCTTCGTTAAAGGTAAGTGTCAATTATTCTATTGTTATTAATCTATTATTATTGTAATTATTCTATTGCATTAATATTTCATGTGGTAAAATTTTTTTTTCATACTTTTGGGTGTCTTGCACGGATTAATTTGATTTCCATTATATGTATTTCTTAGGGGGAAAATTAATTCGACTTTCGATATTTTCGACATTCAGTGGCTCTCAGGAATGGATTAATATCGAATGTCAGGGGTCCACTGTAATAACATGTATAATATAATAATTATACAAGAGTTTGTACATTAAGAGTGAAGCATTAAGAGTGTAGCATTAAGAGTGTACCATTAAGCGTGTAGCAATTAAGCGATTAAGTGATACAGAAATGACAAAATGAAATGAACTCCTGACAGCATACGCCTCTGTGCCCAGCATCTCTTCTCCCTCATCAACCTTTACCAGCATCTCTTCTCCAAGGTATATGCTGTATTATTATTTATTATGTATTATTATTATTATTATTGTTTTCCTTATGAAACTACGTAGTGATCTAAAGGAGTTTGCCTTACAAAAGCATGGGAAGGTATGTAGTCAGGAGCAGGAACAATGGCCGCTGTGCTGCTGCCTCCACTACCACTACTCAAATAGGTAATGATGTACAGTGGTCCCTCATTGTTCGTAATTAATCCGTTCCTGGAGCCATTACTATAAACGAAATTTACGATTTACGAATCAATTTTCCCCATAAGAAATAATGTAAATACAATTAATCCGTTCCTGACACCCAGAAGTATTAAAACAAAAAAAAATTTAACATGAAATATACATGTAGTACATAAACAATACAATGGGAAATGATGAATGAAACATTAACAGCATAACACTTGCCTTTATTGGAGATTCTTCTTTGTGTATGGAAGACTGGAGGAGGAGAGAGAGAGGATTGTTTATAGTTTGGAAGGGGAATCCCCTTCCATCAACACCTCAGGTACCATTTGCTTTTCTGGGGTTGCTTCTCTTCTCTGTTTCTTAATGCCACTAGGACCACCTTGAGAGTCACTGGAGTCCTGTCTCACAAAATAACTGTGGAGAGAGCTCTGTTTCTGGCGTCTCTTTAACACTTCCCTAAAATGGCCCAAGACTTTGTCACTGTACATGTTGCCAACCTGGCTTGCAACAACCTTGTTAGGGTGATGTTTCTCCATAAAGCTTTCCATCTTACCCCACATAGTAAAAATCTCTTTAATTTCTGAAGAAGGCACCTTCTTCCATCTCTCTTCTTCCTCCTCTGCAGCAAGATTCTGAGCTGGAATGTGTTGCTCTTCCTGCTGAAGCTCTTGCAGCTCCTCAGTGGTGAGCTCTTCATTGTGGTCTTCCACCAATTCTTCCACATCCTCCAAACTCACATCCAACCCCATGGAACTCCCCAGTGCCACAATTGATTTTACAACAGACATAGGCTCATTAGGGTCAGTCCCAAATCCTTCAAAATCCCTCTTGTCGACACAATCTGGCCACAATTTTCTCCAGGCAGAGTTCAAAGTCCTGGTAGTCACTCCCTCCCAAGCCATATCTATAAGGGTTATGCAGTGGAGGATGCTGAAGTGTTCTCTCCAAAATTCCCTTAGGGTCAAGTGAGTGTCTGTGGTCACAGTCAAGCACCTGTGAAACATTGCTTTTGTGTAGAGTTTTTTAAAGTTTGCAATAACCTGCTGGTCCATGGGTTGGAGAGGAGTGGTATTCGGGGGCAAGAACTTTACTGTGATGAACCCAAACTCCTCGAAAATTAGGTCATCCAAGTTTGGAGGATGAGCAGGTGCATTGTCCATTACTAGCAGGCACTTGAGATCCAATTTCTTTTCCAGGAGATACTCCTTCACACTAGGACCAAACACTTCATTGAACCACTCGACGAAAATTTCCCTCGTGACCCATGCCTTACTATTAGATTTCCAAAACACACACAATTTATTCTTCATATCATTGTTTTTCCTGAACACTCTGGGATTTTCAGAATGGTACACTAGTAATGGCTTCACTTTGAAATCTCCACTAGCATTAGCACAGAACATTAGCGTCAGCCTGTCTTTCATAGGCTTGTGTCCTGGCATTGCCTTTTCCTCTTGTGTAATAAAGGTCCTCTTTGGCATTTTCTTCCAAAAGAGGCCTGTTTCGTCACAATTGAACACTT